TTCAGTCTAAAGGACACTTTGTGCTGCCCTGCCTCCTCTCCCTCTCATTCCCACAAATAAAATAAAAATTTTTTGTAAAAAAGAACATTGTGCTGCAAAGCAGAACTTCAGCAATTCTCACCTAGGCAGGAATTTCTGCTCGCCCCTTGTGCATGGTTCCCTGGGAATCTGCGCATGAGGAGGTTTTCCGAACATGTGCAAGGACTGCTACCAGAGAAGTCTGAAAACTTCCCTGTCTAAATCACCTATGTTGTGTCTACTGGCTTGTCAGGACCCTAAGGCTGAGCAGAGCCCATGGGTACATCTGCCCATGCACCACAATGGTGGTTCCCAAGGGGGGCAGAGCTACCAGGGAGGCAGACTCCACTTTTTGGGAAATTCCGCTTTAAAGTCCGTTAAAGTACTGAATGGTCCAGTTGAGACAATGTGGGAGATTTACTAAAACTGGAGCTTATAACTTCAGTTTGTTCAGTTAAACTTTGGCAATAAAACCTGGAAGCTGATTGGTGTCTGTGCAGATTTGCATCAGATTTTGCACACTCCAGCTTTAGTAAATAACTCCCAATATTGTTTATTGCTGGGATGTGGTGTCTAAATAAGAATAGATAAACAGCAAGAAGTAAAGTAACCCATTTTAACAGGTTCTACTGAAGTAAGCCTAGTCCATGTGGACCCTTATTGATTTCTATGGATCACTGCACATCACTGTTATTTATTTATTTCAGGTACTTATATAGTGCTGTCAATTTATGCAGCACTTTACATATATATATTTTACATTCACATCAGTCCCTAACCCTCAAGGGGTGTACAGTCTAAGGTCCCTAACTCAAATTCATACATACACATACTAGGGCCAATTTGGACACGATCCAATTAACCTACCAGCATGTCTTTGGAGTGTGGGAGGAAACCAGAGTGCCTGAAGGAAGCCCATGCAGGTACAGTGAGAACATGCAAACACCAGGTAGGTGGTGCTGTGGTTGGGATTTGAAACAACAACCCTACTACTGCCAGGTGGAAGTGCTAACCATTTACTGCTGCCAGGTGGAAGTGCTGCCCACTGTTATGTTGTTTCATCTAGATAGACTTCAAGCCACTCATAAGCCATGGATGCCATCCATAAATATGGGTTTAAATTGCTGTCAGCACCCAATTTACTGATTTCCTCTCATCCCCTTGGGCTACCCGCTGTTCTCTAATCTTAAAAAGAATTTGTCTGGTGTACATTTAGGAACAGATGAAGATGTAATTGATGTTGTAGAATCCTGTTTTGACATTTGAGAAATCATTTCATTTTGAGAGAATATGAGTTGCCCAGCACTGGTGGAAAACCTGTGTGCAAAGCTGTTTGTTTGGACTCCATCTAGTTATTCTACATAGGCCAATTTCATAGGAAGGACAGGCAAAGCCAGATTTATGGGAATACTAAAGAGAATCTCAGATTGCTCCCGTGCTCAGGTGGCAAATCTTCCATGTATCTGCCGTGGGTAGGGCTGCAGAAATCGCTTGTCTATCCTGCTTCTTTATTTAATTTTATATTGCTACCTATGCAAATCACAAAATCCCTTAAAATTTTGAAAGCAGCAATTCTTCAAACCGTGACAATCTGAGATTATTATAAACTTAAAGGCCAGCTAGCCTTTTAATTTTCACACATGCTTAAAATAAAAAATAGGTCTGGTATCTCTGCGCTTACAAAAATATTGAAATTTAAATCTCTTGCAAACCTATATCTTGTCATTACTGGAGACAGATTAAAACCATAAAACTGGAACATAAAAAAGAAACTTGAAACAGACAAGCCGTGTTCATATATTATAATAAATGCAAAGTATATGGCGAGTGCTGAAATCTAAAATCCATTAGCACAAGGGGTAAAGGCAACAAATCCCATAAAACTTGTATAATAAAGTGCAGCACTAAACATTAAATGTCAACATTAAGTGCAATAAAAACACATGAACAAAGTTGCCAATAAAGTGTGTAAACAATAACACTTAAGTAATTAAGTGATACATATATGTCCTTCCAATAATAAAGTGTGGAGACACTAATGAAGAAAGTGTCCGTGGTACTACAAGTCACATCATCACCAGTGTGAAATATCCAAAAAAGTGCTCTTAATCCAGTGAGGGAATCCACAACTGCTAATAGCTATGCACTCACCAGAAAGGTATTTGTAAAGTAGCATAATGCTGATCACATAGGTGAAAACCTGAAGGATCCATGTGTGCAACTTTTCCAATGAGTACTGGTAAACCTCAGATCAAAGAGGGGGGATCCTCCTGTAGGAAGATAAAGGGAATCAGATCTGACAGAAGGGGGGATCTTTGGGGGGGATCAGGCTGGGGGGGGATAGGTGAGAGTTGACCAGCTAGGGGGTTGGAGGAGGGGAGACAAGTGCTATGTGTACTCAGGAGTCTGAGGTCTCTTTCTTTCCTTCCTTCATTCCTTCCTTCCTTTCTCTTTCTTTCTTTCTTTCTTTCTTTCTTTCTTTCTTTCTTTCTTTCTTTTTCTTTCTTTCTTTTTTCTTTCTTTCTTTCTTTCTTTCTTTCCTTCCTTGCCTCTATCCTTCTTTCCCTGTTTCCTTCCCTTCTTCCTTCTTTCCCTCCTTCTTTCTTTCTCTCTTTCCCTCCTTCTATATGTCTCTCTTTCTCTCTCTCTCTCTCCATTTATCCTGTTACTCTCCTTCCTTCCTTCTCTCTCTCTCTTTCTTTCTTTCTTTCCTTCCTTCCTTCCTTCTTTGCCTCTATCCTTCTTTCCCAGTTTCCTTCCCATCTTTCTTCTTCCCCCCCCTTCCTTCTTTCTCTCTTTCCCCTCCTTCCTTCTTTCTCACTTTCACTCCTTCCTTCTTTCTCTCTTTCCCTCCTTCCTTCTTTCTCTCTTTCCTTCCTTCTATACGTCTCTCTTTCTTTCTCTCTCTCCCTTTATCCTGTTTCTCTCCTTCCTTCCTTCTTTCCCTCTTTCTTTCTTTCTTTCTTTCTTTTTTTTCTTTCTTTCTTTCTTTCTTTCTTTCTTTCTTTCTTTCTTTCTTTCTTTTTCTTTCTTTCTTTCTTTCTTTTTCTTTCCCTGTTTCCTTCCCTTCTTCCTTTTTTTTTTTCCTCCTTCCTTCTTTCTCTCTTTCCCTCCTTCTATATGTCTCTTTCTTTCTCTCTCTCCCCCCCTTTATCCTGTTTCTCTCCTTCCTTCCCTCTTCCTTTCTTTGGGCTGCTCAGTTCAAAAAATGCCTGGGCCTATTTTTTGTTCCAGTCCAGGCCTGGACAAAGGCATCATTAGCTGTGTAGCCGGGTACTGCCACTGGCTGCCTGTAAATTCCTCCCCACTCAGCCCCCCCCAAGTATCTATGTCTGAGCAGCTCTGTGTAAACAGAGCAACTGTGGGAGCTGCAACGCTCTCTCCCCTTCTCATGCTGCATGTGCACGGATTGGGCTGTGCTCACTAGTGTCCTGCTCCTGCTTCATCCCTTCAGCTTCTGCTGATACCCTTAGATGTGATAGAAGAGCTGTGTTTTCCAGTTTCTGTGTGTTGTGGATCAGTGTAAAATCCCCCCTGCTCCTCCTTTCCCCCTTCCTTCCTGGCAGTGTGGATCGGATCCAATTAGAGGGCAGGGGAGTCAAGAGCCAATAGGAACATCAGAGACTAAACAAGTAAAAGTAGGCTGATGGAGCTGTGGACCTTAACTCCCACAAATCCCACAATGGAGAGCTTCATTGTTTTCCCAGGCAAATGGTGAGAGCTTGGGACATCTAAAGTTGAAACCAGCAAGTTAGGACCTGCTACCAGGGGTGTTTGCATCCATACACCCCAGAAGAGATTGAGTGGCTGAACTGCTGTAAACATTTTGTGAGCATGAGGACCTGAAGCAGTCCAGATTCAATGCTCAGTGTCTGTACTATAGAAGGGACTGAGTCAATGAGTGTTATTTAGCCGCACCGGAACCGAAAACCAAAGGGATCTGTTGTTGTTGTGTTGGTCTACAGCCTGGATGAGCTAGTCAGGAACAGATTGTGAGGCCTGAGAATTCTAGAACTTGCTGACCATCAAGCTATTGGGACCAGATTAGCCACATGTCAGGAGTGGTGAGCTGAACTACACACTTTAATCTCTTACCATATACATAGTCAATGCCATGGACACTTCTTTTACCCATCTGCTCAGCTACATACTGTACATCAATAACCCTCTTAAAGGGACAGTGCACCACCTAAAGAAGGGCCCCACCAGAAGCTAGACAACAGTAACTATTAGGATCCAGGTACTTTTGGTCATCTTCAAAAGGGTGCCCCATACACTAAGGATGCCTACTCTTCCCCACTGCTGAGGTTTTTTGCATAGTGTGCGCACTTGGATTCTATTATTTTTCTGAGTTATCTGATGCCGTTCCAGAGACTCTAGTAGCACTGGTTACTACCTGTATCCGACCGGTGATGTTGGCGGTGACGTCACTGCTTGCTCCGCATAATTGTGTACATCTGACCAGCAACTGTCAGACCTCATATTGCGGCGAGTGCTCAGTGGGTGTGAACGGGTCGACGGGCGTTGTTTTTTTTTTTTAATGTTGGCAAGTTGGTATTGTTGGGACAATGCTGGACGCAATGAATGATGACGGATTACATTGATGGAACCATTTTTTTTTGCTTATTTGGCCTTGTCAAAAGAACTTGTCAAAAACATTTTTGCTTCAATTAAAGGAATTTTTCAAAAGTCTGGTGTCTTTATTTTTTCCAAATGTAACCCTTTAGCGAATGTGTAGATGTACAATTACCCCTTACTCATTCACAAGGGGGGGCAGCATCAGGGTGCACCTTTATTTAACCACCTCCCGCCATATAGTAAAATGATGGACGCAAAGTGGTTCTCTCGTTCTGGCAGGACGCCCTCCCATTCTCACTGCGCATGCGTGGCTCCTGGAGCACGCAGTGCGGTGATCGGCGGTGCGCTGTGTCCCTCGGACACAGCGGATCACCAATCCACGGAAAGAGCCGAAAATGTCGGCTCGGTCATGTGATCAGCTGTGTCCAATCACAGCTGATCACATGTAAACAGGGAAATGCCGGTTATCTGCATTTCTCTCCTCACAAGCTGTCACACTGACAGCTCGAGAGGAGAGGAGAGCTGGTAATCGGCATTCCGCAGAGGGGACATCTACACTGATCATCAGAGCACTGATAATCAGTGTGCACTGATGATAAGTGTAGCCCCAGCAGTGCCACCTGTCAGTGTTCAATCAGTGCCATGTGCCAGTGCCCATCAGTGCCACGTGCCTGTGCCCATCAGTGCCACGTCAATGCCACATATCAGTGCCTACCAGTGCACATCAATGCCACATATCAGTGCCCATCTGAGCTGCCTTTCAGTGTCACCCATCAGTGCCAGTCAGTGCCACCTATCAATGTCAATCAGTGCCACGTATCAGTGCTGCCAATCAGTGCCACCTATTAGTGCCAGTCAGTGCCGCCTATCAGTGCACATCAGTGCCGTCTATCAGTGCCAGTCAGTTCTGCCTATCAGTGCCACCTATCAGTGCTGCCTTTCAGTGTCCATCAGTGATGCCTGTCAATACCCATCAGTGCCACCTACCAGTGCCTCCTCATCAGTGCCACCTATCAGTGTCCATCAGTGCAGCCTATCAGTGCCCATCACAGCAGCCTCATAAGCGCACATCGGTGAAGGAGAAAAATCACTTATTTACAAAATTTTATAATAAAAACTAAGAAAAAACTTTTTTTTTTCAAAATTTTCAGTGGTTTTTGGTTTGTTTAAGAAAAAATAAAAAACCCAGAGTTGATTAAATACCACAAAAAAAAGCTCTATCTGTCACAAAAAAATGATAAAAATTTCATATGGGTACAGTGTTGCATGACCGCGCAATTGTCATTCAAAGTGAAACAGCGCTGAAAGCTGGAAAGCTACATTGTACCTACTTTGCAGGTAGTTTAAGTGTTTTTTTTTACTTTATACAATGAAAAATGACTGCTCCTTAAAAATGGTACTTTTTGAAATACCCCTTTTATGGCCAATAACTTGCATGTATGCCTTCAAAATGGGCACATTTGAATTTAATTGAAGTTGAAGTCCCATAGACTTGCATTGAGTTTGAAGTTCGTGGTCAAATAACTATTGTTTGTGTTGTTATTAAAATGCTGGTGTTATAAAATGAAAGTGTGTGCTGTGACTATAGATCTCCTTTGAGGCTAATATCTATCTATCTATCTATCTATCTATCTATCTATCTATCTATCTAAAAATCTATCTATCTATCTATCTATCTATCTATCTATCTATCTATCTATCTATCTATCTATCTATCTATCTATCTATCTATCTATCTATCTATCTATCTATCTATCTATCTATTATCTATCTATCTATCTATCTATCTATCTATCTATCTATCTATCTATCTATCTATCTATCTGCCTGTTCTTGCACAGGGGCTTTTGGGTGACTTTGTCCACCATAGTGTTATCTACCAGATAATTTTGGTGCCATATAACTGGATTGACATACTTGTTGCGCTGTCAATAACGTTCAATAGTGAAAAATCAAGTGAAAATAACTAAATCCACAAGTGTGAATAAATGTGAAAAACTACAACCACTATTCCAAAAAAGTTGGGACGCTGTGTAAAATCTATATTTAAACAGAAAGCAATGATTTCTGTAAGCAAACCCATATTTTATTCACAATAGAAAACAGAAAACACATCAAACTTTTCAATTGAGAAAATCCACCAAATAATTTAATAAAAATATAAGGTCATTTTTAAATTGATGGCAGCAACATGTCTCAAAAAAGTTAGGACAGGGCAACAAAACCCCAATTCCCAAAAAGTTGGAAAAGGGCCATGTTTACCATGGTGTAGCATTCCCTCTTCTTTTAACAACACTTTGTAAAGGTCTGGGAACTGAGGAAACCAGTTGAGTTTTGGGAAAGGAATGTTGTCCCATTCTTGATATAGGATTCTAACTGCTGAACAGTCCTGTGTCCTGTATCCTTCTTTGTTATATTTATTGGTTCAAGATGCACCAAATATTGGTGAAAGGTCTGGAATACAGGCAAGCCAGTTAAGCACCCAGACTCTTCTATGAAGTCATGATGTTGTCATAGATGTTGTATGTGGTTTAGCCCTATCCTGCTGAAATAAGCAAGGCCTTCCCTGAAAAAGATGCTGTCTGGATGGGAGCATTTGCTGTTCTAAAACCTGGATATACTTTTCAGCATTGACGGTGCCTTTCCAGACGTGTAAGCTACCTATTCCATACGCTCTAATGCACTCCCATACCATCAGAAATGAAGGCTTTTGAACTGAGCACTGATAAGAAGCAGGAAGGTCCCTCTCCTCTTTAGTTTGGAAGATGCGGCGCCCATGGTTGCCAAAAAGAATAATGAATTTCAATTTGTTTGACCACAGAACAATTTCCCACTTTGCATTAGACCATTCTAAATGTGTTTTGCCCAGAGAAGATATAGCTTCTTCTTGGCATAATAGACCGTTACTTTGCATATTTTGATGGCACAACAAACTGTGTTCACAGATCGTGATTTTTGGAAGTATTCCTGAGCCCATGCAGTGATGTGCATGACAGAATCGTGAATGTTTTAATGCAGTGCCGTCTGAGGACCTGAAGATCACAAGCATCCATTTTGACCTTGTCCCTTGAGTGCAGAGATTTGTCCAGTTTCTTGGAATCTTTTGATAGAAATATGTACTGTAGTTGCTGTAAGCTCTAATGAGCAGGGCCCTCTGGTTCCTCTTGTACCAAATTGTATTGTAACTTTAATGTCTACCTTTATATTGTAAAGCTCTGCGCAAACTGCTCTGGCTCTGTCCTCAGGCCCCTTCTCTTCTCCATCTACACCTCCTCCCTTGGCCAACTCATGCACTCTCACGGTTTCAACTACCACCTCTATGCCAACGACACACAAATCTCTCAACCCCCCACCTCACCCCCTCAGTCTCCACCCGAATCACAAACCTACTGAACGACATATCAGACTGGATGTCGCTCCACTGCCTTAAACGGAACCTCTCCAAAACCGAGCTCCTAGTCTTCCCCCCAGCTCACGCACCCCTCCCTACTGACTTCTCCATCACATCCAACAACGCCACCATCAAACCCGCCCCGCAGGCCAAAGTACTTGGTGTCATTCTGGACTCCAACCTATCCTTCCAGCCCCAAGTCCAATCTTTAACAAACTCATGCAGACTCCATCTCCGCAACATCGCCAAAATCCACACGTACGTTCCCAACCCCAGAAACCACTAAACAGCTCATCCACTCCCTCATCATATCACGACTCGATTACTGCAACTCCCTCCTCACTGGCCTGCCTCGCCGCTGGCTATCCCTGCTTCAGTCCATCCTGAACACGGCGGCCAGACTCATTCACCTTTCCAACTGCTCCATTTCCGCCACCCCCCTCTGCCAATCCCTCCACTGGCTTTTGATTGCACAACGGATCAAATTCAAAATCCTAACACTAACGTACAAGGCTGTCCACCATACTGCCCCAAGTTACATCACCAACCTGGTATCCAAGTACCACCCAACACGCGCACTCCGCTCCTCACAAGACCGCCTTCTCTCTAGTTCCCTGGTCTCCTCCTCCCATGCCTGCCTCCAGGATTTTTCCAGGGTGTCTCCCATCCTCTGGAACTCCCTACCCCAACCCATCAGACTATCACCTACTCTCCTCTCCTTTAGGCGCACCCTGAAAATCCACCTCTTCAGGGAAAGCCCCCTGCTAATTTCAGACCTCCTCCACTCTTCCTACCACTCCATCCCCCACAGCTATCTCCTCCTGTACCACTATCCCCTCCCTCCTAGATTGTAAACTCGAAAGAGCAGGGCCCTCGAACCCCTCGTGTATCGCATTGTATTGTTATTGTACTGTCGCATGTATTGTCTCCCATTGTAATGTACAGCGCTGAGCGAACTGTTGGCGCTTTATAAATACTGTATAATAATAATAATAACTGTTGTGAATCCTGTATATTATTAATAATAATGATATAGTTAAAGTCTGCAAATTTATGTTGAGGAACATTATTCTGAAATTGTAGAACAACTTTTAGACGCAGCTTTTCAATGCAAATCATTGCATTTTGTTCTTTATTTTACACAGCGTCGGCAACTTTTTTGGAACTGAGGTTGTGAATTTACACATTTATTTTATTCACTCTTGTGGATTTCGTTAATATCACTTCTTATTGTGCATTGAGCTATTGAGCATTATTAACAGTGGAACATGTAAGCTCCAAGGGGCAGGACCCTCCTAACCCACTTGTATTGAATTTTATTGTTGCTGTCTTGTCTCCCTTTATATTGTAAAGCGCTGAACAAACTGTTGGCGCTATATAAATCCTGTATAATATAATAAAGTATGTAATTTTAGTATTTATTATCTTGTAGTAAATAATTTTGAGTGCTGCTGTCTGACATATTTATATATCTGTTTGACGCAACTTTATTTTATTGCAGGAAGTGCAGATTTACTTTAGTTTTCTATAACCGGATTGTACAGATCTGTAATCAGTAGGCTGGATCAGGCATCCAGCCATATGCACACATATAGTCAGCCCAACAGATAGAGTGAAGTATAAAGGTTTCATAAAATCTGTGTCCTGGTCCTGTGTCATCTATAGATATATGGTAAGTGACCCCCTGGTTGTGAGCAATTTATCACCAGCAAAGACATGTTCCAGACTCTTCATTATTCCAGTAAATGATGAAGAAGGTGAGAGGTCACAGAACTGGTATCTGTGACAGGAAACAGGCAATGGACTGTACTTCATCTGTACAAAAACAGAATGGAACGTCTGATCACAAGATCTGATGGAAAATCTAGTAAATACCAAAACATGAGCTGGAATTCAATACATGATCCTTACTGCTATAGACTGATAATACAGAAGTAGAGGAAAAGGAAACATTGAGAAATTCCATTAAAAATAAAAGTTGACTCAACAAATTGGCTTCTTAAAGGGGTACTAAACCAAATACCACAAATGTAATATATTGCAGCCTTCCAATCATTAGATGTGGTGGCTGCATTAGTTTTCTACTTTTAGCCTTTTTTACCTCTGTTTTCACCTGGTTATCTGACCAGTAACACACCCCCTGTATTAGAGTGACCCCACTCTGGATAAAGGAGCACAGGGGCTCATTTTCACAGCAGCATTGTCAGCCTGGGGAGGGGGGAGTATTAGATATACTAGCAGATTTAGGTACACTAACAAATTGAAGCTGTTTTACATAAATTAATAAAAGCTCTTAGAATGTAAACTCCAAGGAGCAGGGCCCTCCTAACCCTGAAATGGGCTAAAATATCTTGGACCCACCAATCCATTGGCTTAGCATCATAGCATGTCATTACAATTTGATTCTTAAATTTGAGATTTCCCCTCGCATGGTTCCCATGAATAGT